TGTTAAACACATTTATGGTTAGTATTGAAATTAAAAAATATAAGACTAAAATCTGACCATTGTTCGAATTTCCTATTTCAAAGTGACATTTAGTAAAATTAAACGATCGAAAGCGTTGACATTTATATCTATGTAACTTTAATACAACTCTTGATTAAAACAAAATTATGAGCAAAATCAAATTCAATAAATTCTAAACAAAAATTGAAAAACAAAATTAAAAACAGTTTGTTCAAGAATAAGGTATGAAAAGGGCAGACACAACGAATTAAACGCCTTAAATGAATACTTTTTTCTTGGAAAAAGATCAAGATTAAAAAAATACCAAGACAGAGTCAACTCAATTCATATTATATCTACAGTCAATGCGTTTCAACTCAAATTATTCCGAGCATTGAAAATTCCATTAAAACACAATTACATAAGTACAGTATAGGTTGATTCCTCACAGTAATTCGGCATTCATAGATAAAATATTAGGAATTAATCATCTATCATTTACTATTTCTTTCATCAGTTTTATCAGATCCAAAATAACGCTCATACATACGTAATTCAACTACTGTGAAAGTTTGATGAATGAGCTGATTTTAATCATCTAACGACCTCTCAAAGGGATCGTTTATTTTTTCATACTATTTCTTATCACCACGGATTATTCTAGTAATCTAGTTTGTTGGTAACTCATCGAAAAATATTTCAACAAAAGTGCGTAAAATCTCCCATCACTGATTTGATATTTTAGGTTGAGCTACCAGATCAGCGGCAATGTTCTAATCTAAACCATTAACCAACCCTTTTTGATCTCGTCTGTAAACTCTACTGTAAAATGGGATGGAAAGATTTTGCCCAGAATACTCCGACAAAAATAAAAGTACGGTAATCACATTCAAATTTTTTTTAGAACATTACCCATTTTTCACTAATTTTATTTTGAATATGCGATCGTAGATAGGCTATAACATAATCATAAACAAGTATCAGAAAAGTGAACCAATTCAAAGTAGAAAAAGATGCACTTGCTTAAGTACATAATAAGAAAGAAATTTTTCATAATCATCGCTCCAAAAGATTACATTTTGCTTATTCTTCAACGGATACTACTTTAAATTGCTATTTAATTGAGATCATTTGCGACCTAATATAAATAACTAAAATCATCTTTAAAAACACAAGATTGGTTTCTACCACTTAAATCTTTTAAATGTCCATTCACTTTATTTTCGTTTTATATAAATGACCGGGCTTATCAATACAATCAATTCTTACCTCTATATTGATTTATTTTAGAAATTCCACTTTTACCTTGCCATTAGGCAGAATCATTTAATGGTTGGAAAATAGGTACAAACAATTAACTTCAGTCAGATCTAACAATTTAACGATAATATTGCCGAAATGATATTGGTATAGAATCTTAATATAAGGTTAATTTCACTTCTTCTATGTTTAACTTAATATTGAAAACTTGTCCATTCTAACAGAAATTTTGTTCTGCCTATTTGGACAGAGACTGATTTTTGGACTTTCTAAAATATACTTTGGAGGAAAAACATTTCTTGCCAATTCTAGAACCTTTTGGTTCTATAAGAGTGGTGATTTGAAGAATGTTTGAATTTATTTTTTGTCCAATGTATAGCAAAACCTGTTTATTAACTCGAATGAAAAACTGTGGCTACTGGCATTCAAGATCAATATCAATTTGGCGGATAATATTCGCATTCAGTTAAATCCATTTGGATTTAATTATTATGATTTCTACTCATCATCTCAAAAGTGAAATGTCATTTAATTTTTGATTTTTTTTGACAAGACAGAAAATTTAGTACTTTAAACATTAGAACAAGTGTTTGTGCTATTAAGTAAATTCATACTTAGAAAAACTTATGTTAATTACTATTACACAAGCAATCAAGACATTTATATCTCAAGAGACTTACCTAACTGGTTTCATATCGGAAACTTTGATCAAACTTTGATATTTTTTGATAGACTAGTCTTGAGATTTCTGCAATTACCGTAATTATTTAAATCAATGATCGGCAATGCCGTATATAAAGCACTTCAGAAACGCATCCAACACATTCCTGAATAACTCAGCTTTCAGCTTTTTTTAACTAGACGGATTTTGGCCACGTGCAAAGAATCTCGTTCGAGCAAAAAAAACTCATAAAAATAATTTCCCCCAACTCGACATTACTTGAATTTCTTGTGTCAATTACAATATAAATTTTTCTGATTATCTTGAAGATTAGAAAACTAAGATGAAGAATATCGCAATATTTCTTGCAGTAGTTATGTTAGTTCTTAGCGAGGACATTCCGCCCGTTGAATCTCGGATAATGATGATCAGCTCACCGATACGGTAAGTCAGTTAGATTTATGTTATTTCGTATAGCTGTTAGGATTGAAGGGTTGTATGTTCTACATCTCTTTGTGCCTCGGCTACTTTTACACAGTTGATATAATTTCACAAATTATTCATTTAAAAAAAAAATCCTGTGTGATAATTAATGTGATTCAAACAGAAATTTTCTTCACCGATGAATCGAAAACACAAGTTTTCCATATTTTAACTACCTTTATACCAACCTCATCGTGTATTAAGTGATTCAGTTGAAAGTAGCTATCGTTTGTTTCACATTTTGCAGGTTAAGCACACAGCCACCATTCTACGCATGGGAACGGAAAAAGCGCAATGTAGAAAATGATGTAAATTTGCAGACAAAAGGTGATGACATTTTTGATTAATGTGAGATTTGAAAGTCTAATACAGGAGTTCTCAACCTGGGGTTCGCGAATCCCCAGGGGTTCACGAGAAGATTTCCAGGGGTACCTAGATGACAGTCGAGTTTTTGTAGGTTGCTGTTTTTGTTATCTTTTATTACTACCATGGGAAAATTCGTGCCCATTGAAACTAGACGGCAATTGAAACTTAGATTTTCCCTGATTTTGCGTTGTTGTGATTGTGACACAACAATGTGAAAGTTGTTCAGTTTGTTCAAGGCTTCGCGTACAAACTGTGAAATCTCTAAATACAGTGTGCTGCGAGCATTGGAGAAGTGATTATGCTTATTGAAACTTGGCAGAGATTTTAAGAATTTATCAGTTAGGCAGACGACAAGGGCAATAATATCAACAAGACGATTTAATTCAGTTACATATGGTCATTAAATTGGTGTTGCAACAAATTGTTAGTCAATATATCAGTATATCACAAGTTTGTTCGGTGTCTGGTTACCGGGGTTTCACGTTGATTGTTTCGTGACTTGGATGGGGGTACTTGACAGAAAAAAGGTTGAGAACCCCTGGTCTAATAGATTCTTCTATTCAAAATAATTCTTTGATGCACTACTATGCAAATTATTTGAAAGTACAAGTTATTGCTGGAAAAGATCTCAGTTCTGTATTAAGGAAATAATATGATCATATCATCAACGTTCAAAATCTGAAGCTTAGTAGCCTACTATGTCGTGGGAATCTCCATTGCCGTTAATATTATCGTGTAAGTTAAAACATCTCTACCTTTTGTTACAGAAAGAGCGTACAATTTTATTGGACAAGCAGATGATGAAGTATGAATGATCGATCGGATTCACAATGTTATGGCGGGATTCTATATTAATATATATACTGCATAAACAAATCGTACCGTTGTTTAGTCTATTGTGTAGTGTAGACAGATAAACATGTAGTTTTAGTATTGGTAACTTTTGTGATCATGTGATATAACCGCTTATCACTGTCGCTTGTTAATTTTTAATTTTATTTTTCGTCGATAGTATGAAATGCTTCACACAGTTTGCCATATTACACGCCATATTCAGGCATTTCAGTACGAAAAACGCCAAGTCATAATATTTACTGTACAACCAACTATTTTCAGGAACGAGCGGAATTGCTCCGGTTATGCATTGCATATCCAATTTATCACACCATGAATTCGAGATATTTGATTTGCGATGAAGCATAGTTGAAGTCATAGCGCTCTAATCCATATAGGCCAATATCGCAATATTATATAAATATTCACCTAAAAGTGTAATTGATATGCTTTATCTTTGTGTCGGTGATGCATTAGATAGAGTTTGGAACGAGATTTGAAACAATTTAAATGTTCACTTTGAGGCAGGGGTGCACCAGTCTCATGAGCATAGGTACCGAAGTGCCACGTCACGTTCGAACATTGTGGGTAATGTACAAGAACTTCAGCAAAACACATATTAAGGAAAAATTATTTACTCAAACAATTTAATGTCTTGAAGACGCTTTTAAAGACGAATTGAATTAATTTAGATATAAACGTGAGTTATTAGGATTTACCATGAATGAAAGAATTACTTATTTCCAAATCGTTAGCGTGCTACGTCTATATCATATGAGGTGCCACTTTGGGCCCGCATGCCCCGTGTTGGGCACCCCCACTTATGGGAACAGGGTAGGTGGAACGAATCACACACATCGGAATATATTGGTAAAAACTTTCCGTATATAGATTTGATAATTCAGGACCTCTAACGATTAAACCCTTCCTGGGGAAAACAAAGACGGAAAGTTCAGACAAAAATGTTTCTGTTTTAATATGAAAAGGAAAAGTTTTTTGTTTTTTACGAGCCGTCAAATGTCTTAGTATATCGAAGGATATTGCCATGAATGGCTTCGGAGCCCGTGGGGAACAATTAGGTGCAAGATGATTGATAAACTCCCCGCCGTTGTAGGTTGGTTCACGTCTTCGCTGGTCTGTCACGGCTTACCATCAATTTCATGCCGAAAGCTGCATATCTGAAAAAATTCAACATAATAATTCCCTTCAACAGCAATCTTTATTGTGATAAATAACTATATTTTTGCTTTTGTTTATGACTGTTTCTGGTTGACGCAACAACAAATCTCCGTCTCTCTCTCTTTCAACGTCCCGTATCTTACAAAACTTAGTCAATCCAGATTTACTTAATCTAACATGAATCAAGTTTTTATGAATAAATATTTCCACAATGAAATTATTTTGATAATTTTTATTACGCCATTCACAAATTACACAAAAATAGAAAACTTCCATGATGTCATAAAACTCGGTAACAGCAATCTTCATTCAGTGATCATTCTGTGAATCGTCGTCAAAGAATAATTCGTCATCTGTACAAAAAAAAAGTTTATTAGATAACGTGTAAATATTTGTATGTTAAAAAGTATTTGAATACAAGAGTTATTATTTTTTTGTTTTAAGAGAGGTTGCATGATAAATGGTACGGTATCTGAAAAGGCTCTAAATAGTGCGGTATATTACGTTTTTGATTTATTGTTATTTGACTTTTATATTGGGTCTTGCTTTTATTTCTGCAAACTCTTACTAATTTCTACTAACAAACCTGTTATTTTATCAAATTTTCCAACGTCCCGTTTCTTCTTTCCTGGCCACGGTGGGGTGTTGCCTAGCCTAAAAATGAGAAATTAAAAAAAATTTAGATGGAGAATCAATTAATTTTCGTTTGACTGGACTTACGTATTGGATAGGCCTACATGTTTATCATGAAAGCTGTTTCACCTCAAAGAAATTTTCCATAGTTACATATAGCAGAAATAGGTTAAATTCAATTTGAAATATTTAGATATTTACATTGAATAAATAAAACATATCGTCACGCTAATAACCGAATTGCGTAATTCATTTTTGGCGATTTTGAGTTTTTTATAAAATAGGTATTTATGTAATGCTGCGCACCTGTCTGTTAACTCAGATTTTATTTTAAGAATTCCGAAACCCATAAAAATGGAGATTTAGTATGACATGCACATTTGTGCAATTGTTTCGTCATAATGAATTATCATTGGTACCGCAGGACTATTGTGACGTCACAAAGGCAAAATAACATCGGCTAAGGATTTTCGAGTTTTTGCATCTCAGATTCTAGCTTAGCGCGTATTAATTTGAATTTATACTACAGTATAGGAAGACGTGCACTTGTGATATTCACTGTCCGAGTTCAATTCACTTTGGTTGGCTTTTATATTGGGTGCATTGCTGTTTTATTCTTTATATTTAATCTTAGTCTTATTTCGGTGGGTGTGCAGAACGTGTTATATTGATGAAATATATATTTTTAAACATAAAAAATAATTGAAATAATTAAAGTAATTGAAACTGATTAGCTATTTTGGGGATTAGACATTGTAGATACCAAGAATTACATTCGTTTTTGAAATGTTTAGTTTTCAGGACTGGTGCATATAGTATAGTTGCAAAATTGCGTATGTCCCCAAGTCATAGACACATTTCTGCGTAAGTCACAGTGCGCCATTATGACGTCACTTAACTGCGTCATACAAATTAACTTAAATCCGGCTACGATCAAAAAATTGAACCATGGCAAATTATTGACTTTCAATGGCATAACAATATCCTTAGGAAGTTTTTTACGTTTTTCTCAAAACTGCTAAAAATGACTTACGCAATTCGGTTATTAGCGTGACGATATGTACTCAATTCTTGATTGATAAAGATAATTTGGATTGAAATAATGCAATATCATCTGCATACAATCGCATGACCTTTGAATAGTAAAATTCTCCAAAAATCAACGATGTAATATATATATTTATTCGCCAATCAAATTGATCACATATAATTTCCTTCTATCATGTTGCATTCAATTCAATCTAGGACGTTCAAACCCAAATGTGTGTTAAAATACAATATTCAGACTTTCACAGTAGCGCAAACAAGTATGCGAAGCAATTGCACTTGGACATACGATTATGGAATACTCATACCTTGATTGT